CTGCTGGAGAAACAAATTAATGTAGCTGCAAAAGATGCCTTCTTGCAGCTCAGCCTGTACTCTCAAGCCATGCAGCTCAGCCTAGCCCAGAGGAGTGTCAGATTAATATCTGGGAAACTCATGTTTGACTCCATGCCGTGGAAGCTCACTGGGTGACCTTGGGCCAGTCATACTCTCTCAGCCTATATTACCTCACAGGGTTGTTGTGAGGATAAAATGGAGGAGAGAATGATGTAAGGTACTTTCAGTCTCCATTGGGGTACTATATATATATATATACACATATATACATATATATACACACACATATATATATATATACATATATATATATATATATATACATATATGCATATATACATATATATATATATACACACATAAATAAATAAATACTTGCCTATCTCAATTGCAGATAAAGCATGCTGGGATCTGCAGTGTTAATGAGTAGCTCTACCAGCTCACGCAGGGAGGGTACCACCAGTTAAGTACCTGAGGCAACCTTCCATGTGATCCTTTTCTTATAACCAGTGCTTACCTTTCCAGTTGTGTTTTGAAATGCACACAGAAAAGAGCAGAAATGAGACAAGGAACAACCTAAAATTTAATCTGAATAGTGTGCACATCTACCTAATTATAGGAGCATGTAAGCTCTATTTCAGGCCATGGGCTACACTACAGGAGTATGATGTCACACCAGAAAGACACGAATAACTTTTATCTTTTCCCAGGCTCTTGTGGGATGATTCCTATGCCTTAACAGGTCCTTTAATTGTTCTCTTGGCAGTTGGTGCTTTGGTCCAATGTTTTTTTCCCTGTCTTAATTTGTCCTTTGGCAATGACGTTGTTCCCACTTGTCCCCTCTACAGGATGCCAAACTGGGGAGGAGGGAAAAAATGTGGCGTGTGCCAGAAAACCGTGTACTTCGCCGAAGAGGTACAGTGCGAAGGCAACAGTTTCCACAAATCCTGCTTTTTGTGCAGTGAGTATCTCAGTCCACGTGGCACCTCTGTCCTTTTCTGTCGTAGGAATGCTTGCAAAAGAGTACCCATGTTAGTGTTCTGTAGCAAAGTAAAACAAAATCAAGTGATAGCTTTACGACTAACTACGTTTATCTCAGCATGAGCTTCTGTGACTCAGAGCTCACTTCTTCAGATACGTAATACCCAGACCTTCTTACTCTTGACTCCTTTGCATATTAGGCGACACACCCCTATTGTAGCCAATCCTCCAAGAGCTTACAGTAGCCCCTGTAAGAATAATTCAGAATTTGACAACCTTGCCTCAGGGCGAGCAAAATGTTAGGGAACTGGATCTTGGCTGTGAGGCTTTTGCAAGCTTTTTCGCAGATAAGGTCTTGGGGCTCCGCCGCGACCTCCCCGCCACAATTGAGACAGTGAGTGAACTTGAGGCCCCTTGCACGTCTTCGGGGCCGGGTTTAGAGTGTTTCAATCTGCTCAGCCTGGACGAAGTGGACAGATTGCTCGTTTCTGTGCGCCCAACTACATGCAACCTTGATCCGTGCCCCTCATGGCTCATTAAAGCGAGCCCTGGGGGGTTGCGAGGCTCCGTGTGGGATATTATTAACACGTCCCTTTCTGAGGGGCATTTCCCGACTACGCTCAAGGAGGCGATGGTCCATCCTCTCTTTAAAAAACCATCTCTGGACCCGGCCGAATTGGCCAGCTATTGGTCGGTGTCCAATTTGCCCTATTTGGGCAAACTTATAGAGAGGGCGGTGGCGTTACAGTTACAGTGCTTTCTGGAGGATACTTCAGTCTTAGATCCCTTCCAGTCCGGCTTCCGCCCAGGTCACGGGACCGAGACGGCTTTGGTCACCCTAACTGACGATCTCCGGAGACATCTGGATCGAGGCGGTGTGGCGGCGCTGGTGTTGTTGGACTTGTCGGCAGCGTTCGACACTGTCGACCACCAGCTGCTGACCCATCGCCTCGCTGATGCTGGGATTCAGGGGCTGGCCCTTCAATGGTTTGCCTCTTTCCTGCAAGGTCGGGGACAAAGGGTGGCTCTCGGGGATCAGCGTTCCCAGAGGTATCCCCTTGAATGTGGGGTACCACAGGGAGCAGTGCTGTCCCTGATGCTATTTAACATCTGTATGCGCCCCCTTGCCCAGATTATCCGGAGTTATGGGCTGGGGTGTCATCAGTATGCTGATGACACCCAGCTCTATCTGATGTTGGGTGGCCGGTCGGACTCGGGTCCCGATGACCTGCATCGGGCACTTGAAGCTGTGGCTGGTTGGCTCCGGCTGAGCCGATTGAAACTAAACCCAGCAAAGACGGAGGTCCTGGGCCTGAGTCGGGCCGGG